TAGTAAGTAGTAGGTAGTAAGTAGTAAGTAGTAAGTAGTAAGTAGTAAGTAGTAAGTAGTACTTGGTAACTAGTACGTAAGTAGTGAGTAGTAAGTGGTTAGTAGTTAGTAATTAGTAGTTAGTAGTAGTTAGTCGTCAGTCGATAGTCGTTAGTAGTAATAGTAGTAGTAGTAGTAGTAGTAGTAGTAGTAGTAGTAGTGGTAGTGGTAGTGGTAGTGGTAGTGGTAGTGGTAGTAGTAGCAGTAGTCGTAGTAGTAGTAGTAGTAGTAGTAGCAGCAGCAGCAGCAGTAGTAGTAGCAGCAGCAGGAGTAGTAGTAGTAGTAGTAGTAGTAGTAGTACTAATAATAATAAGGATAATGACACTAATCATGGTGATAGTAGTAACACTAGTGCAGAGAGTCATAGTAATAGCAGTGATAGTACTGGAATAATCGCAACGACAGTAACCTCTGAGTTCTGAGTGATTAGACCGCGTTCTGTCTACATGTGACGGGATTACACAGTTCCGAAGCCCGCAACACCGAAATATTGCTTCCTTGAAGCTCCAAACCGCATCGGATCCCTGAAAGCCTCGGAATCCGCATTTTGTCGGCTCTCCGAAGGACTGGGTGGTGCGCTTCGGCCTTTGCCTTGCCAAAGAAACGAAAGAAGGCGAGATCACATAGGAGCCTTAATAACGAAATGGAATAGGGTCTTGGGGTATCCCATAGAGACTGTAGTTAGAACAAGGCACCCTGAGGAATAGGGTTACGATTAACCATGCTTCTGAAACATGGGAAGCATGAAAATGCAATGTAGACCCTACATAGTGGAATCCTGGATGCGGTGACCCCTACAAAAGGTAGTCTGATGGTTCACAAACTCTGTATCGGGTTTCGAGTTCGACAAATTCGATTTGTTGAGGGTGCCGTGGATGTTCTTGTTGTCCGCGTTAGCGCTGTTCGTGGCATGACCGCGATCGTTGTTGTGCTTGTGGGTATATGTGAGGGCACTTGTTTTGGGCCAGCTCTGACTACGGCGTGCTGCTCATATTCAGGATGCACCCAAACGTAAACTTTTGAGGGATATTTACCCTTTTTTATCGAATGCCTCACTTCAAGCGTGGATTGTTTGATATCCCAAGCTTATGGTTGTAGTTTGGGTGATACATGAGTTGATGGTTGTCTTGGTCGCATGTTCAATAAAATCACCTTACGGTCACTGTGAAACTGCCATGACCGCTGTCACTGCATCATAGTTGAAGAAAGCAGCCGTCGTTCACTACATGTACCGCGGTCTTGGCATTTGTTGCTGGATGAGTCTGGCTCGAACTCTAGCAGTGGTTTTTGTTTCACGGATAGTATTATGGCTAGTGCCACTGCCTGCCCTCCACGCCCGCTTTGGTGGTCGGCCTTTTCTGCTATTCTATTCGTGACCAGTACGAGCTCCCAGTTGGCACCTGTTGCTTCCTTGAGTTCACAAGTTGTCGAGTCTCTTGCAGTTCACTTTGATCTCGCTGTCGCCAGCATTGCAACTCTGCCCTTTGCTCTGCTAGCATGACGGGCAGTACGAAGTACGTTTCCAAGCTTTTGGCCGAAGGTTTGTTCGCAGTATGACGGAGGGATTGTGTGACAAGAACTGTCTCTGCGGCGGTTCCGACAGCCTGCTTTCCTGTGGGTACCTCCCACATCGCACGCCCTGAACCATAGTAACCCTGCAGCAACCCTATAGTTCCTTCATCTTACCGCTACAGTAACCTTACTTGGAGGCCCTTTTGACTTAGTAAGTAGGGTTAATAAGGTGGGTTATGGGGATTATAATAGGGCTCCTGGGGGATACTAAGTAGACTTACTAAGTCAAAAGGGCCTCCAAGTAGAGTACCCGTCATAGTAAACCTGATGAGACTCACCCAGCTGCGAGGTGAACGGGAGGAGTCTGGAGCCTCGCCATTCCTCGCACCGCTGGGTCTTCTGTGCTTGCTGGCAGCCCGGGTGGTGCCCCACTCCTGGAGGCCCTTGGTGTAGGGCAGTCTAGGTTGAGTCGGGGTAGATGTTCCATGGTTATGACGATGATGAAAACGAACGCGAGGATTTGGATGAACAGAAAGGACGATGAATTTGGTTAAACAAACACGGGTTCTGAATTTGAAGCTGAGGCTGTCATCGGTGCTGATGCTAATGATGCTGTCCCTATTGCTGCTCATGATTATGACGGTGTTGGTGTCTAGGATGCTCCTGGAGATGGTCTCGATGATAGACACAACTTGGAGGATCATTTGACTTAGTAAGTAAGGTTATAACTACCTTAATTGGGGTTATAATAACATATACGTCTGGTTACCTTATTTATAAGCCTAGTTACTAAGTCCCATGATCCTCCAAGAAAGCGTTGAGGACCAGGGTGCAGTTGGAATTATGGCTTCGCTTCAGTTACCCAGTGCTCGTGCATCTAGCGGAGACCCTACATTGTCACCGTCCAAAGGCTACGAGCCCTTCTCCTGATGGTAGACTACCTATAGTCTCCATTGTAGTTCCTTCTTGGGGATACCTTATAGAATCCTTAGTATAGATTTGGTTAAACCAAAAAAAGAACTACAATGGAGACTATAGGTACCCTTAAAGTCTTCAAAGTCCCTCGGCTGCAACCGAAGGAGCTCCGTCTCCGCACCCTTGCACGATGCTTTGCGCCGGGACCTGAGGATCTAACCCCTACACCCTAATCCCCTAAACCCTAAACCCTAAACCTTTCACTTGCAAGTGTTTGCCTAAACCCTAAACTCTAAGAGGATATCCGGCTTCAGATGTTGTGATATCGGGCTTCAGATGTTGCTCTGTGGTTCCCCTGCGAAGCTTACGATGGCGACGACCGTTCACGGCCCCGGCTGCTACTACTCATGCGAAATTCCACCTCCACTCAATAACTGCCAACACCGTCGCTACTAGCATTTGGTACGTCGAAGTTGGCCACTAAGACCAGAAGTGCTTCCCCCTGTTGATGGTTGTGCTATTGTGCTACTGCTGCTTCTGTCTGCGACAATGACTGTTGCTTGCAGACTCCTCCTTTTGTTTTGCTTGTGATTGTTCTCTTGATCGCACATTGAGGACAAGCATAACTTTTGTGGCCAACAGGATGTACTGACTAGCATGCTTGTTTGGGTTGGAGTTTGCAAAGCCTGCAGCTGCCACACTTTCAGATTCCACATTGCTACTCGCATCCACCACCTTGTCTCCTACTGGTACAATCACAGCCTAAGCTAAAGCCGCAACCACAAGGCTGCTCGGATGTTGAACCTGCGAGAGCGAAGTTCCCTAGGCCCTGCATGCTACGCCCCAAATCAGACTCAACTCCAAGTGTACGCCTGGCCAAGGTCAACTCAACATGAGCGAGGAGCGCTGCTTTCAGGGTTTAGATTTTAGGGTTTGAAGTTGCAATATTAGTCCTTGTTGTGGTGCGAGCATTTAAGAGGCACAGGCAAGGACAAGTACTTAGCACATGCTAGCGCCCATCGTCGGGGCAACAACTGAGCAGAGACGAATGCGAGTATACTGCGATTCACAGTCTCGCCTTTCCCTTCAAGGCTTCAGGGTATGAGTGCGGGCAGTTTGATCTTAGAGGTTTATGGTATGGAGCTGCGATGTACTCGACTCTAAGATCTGCGCAGCCACCGCGAGTCTCTTTGCCGAACTGTTGGCAAAGTAACATCACGCAGTATCGAACCCGTATCGAGTACGCCCTCAAACTCTGAAGCATTCAACCATGATCCATAAACTCCTGATCTCAAACCGACATGATCCATAAACTCCTGATCTCAAACCGAAGCACTAGGGGACAACTAAAGAAGCTCAGGCAGGTCAAGAGACTGCAACATAGAGCATCAGATCACCAACGCTAAAAGTCTGAACCTCAAACCTTAATAACCTATAGTACAACGCGTAGACACATATGCATGCATGTATGTCCATAAATATGAATAATTAGATAGATAAATAAATGAATAAATATATATATATATATATATATTGTACGTGTATATATGTTTTCTGCACCTGTTTATTCTTCATTTCTGATTCAGTCGTTAAGAAAAGAACTGTTGTTTAGCTATGAATATTATATACTCTTAATTTCTGTGAACTGTAGCACAGTATACTCCCAAAGACCCAGTCAAATTATCCCGTATCTCGTACACAAACCCCATGAGCCCAAACCTTGTGCACAAGCCTCAAAACTAGTAGCACTATACCGTCGGGTAGTTCCTTATCTTGTATACTGGAATGTACCCTCCCCCCCAACCCATAATTGTTATATAACCCTACGGCTGCAGTTGCCTAAATTCGTAGACTACTAACCATATATCATGTAGCCCAGTAACCCGTTATTTGAGCAACCAGAGACCGAGGGTGAGGTCCCTACATGTGCAGGAGAATGCAGAAGCAGCGGAGCTGCTTCGCTTTGCGCTCCCTGAAGATGAGGCTCGGGTGAGCTTCTATAGGGCTAGGGTTTAGGGTTTAGGGTTTAGGGTTTTTAGGTCTCGGAAGAACCAGTACAGTAATGGTGTTCCCTACAGCTCATCCATGCATCTTGTAGTATCAGATAAACCCCGAACCGTACTCCATTTATTCAGGACCTTGTATTATGTGCTTGTGAACTTTAAACGCACGGACATGTAGTTGAACGAGAATACCCCCCAACCCCCATTCTAATTATTCAGGACCCTATATTACGGATTTGGGGCGCAGGGTATGGAGGCTTAGTGAGGCTTACTGCCTCTGATGTTTTTCCTGTAGTGGTATGGTTTGAGTCTCAGCATGTTGCATACATACAAAAACGGTACCTCTACAGCAACTCTCAGCAAAACTCCAAAAGTTCAAACCACCCAGAGCCTGCACTAACAGCCATACAAACACACCATCCACACACACAAACACACATACACACATGGCTCGGAGGTTCAGCTCGGGGATGCTCGGGGCCAGACGTCTAAAACCGCAGCAAAGCATGCCTAAGCACTGAAGCTTATCGCCCTCCAAGCCTCTGAGAATCCGTGAGGCCAAGCACTTGTGCTACCATCGAAACAGTGTTCTCACCACAGGGTCGTGATAAGGGCAGGCGTATCAACAATAGCATTCAATAGCATGCATGAATGTCTTCTCGGGATGCCACCATGATGTCGAAGAGACGCCGACAGGAATATGCATGGGCTTGTGGTAATTGCGGGAGTTGCGGAGTTCTGACAAGAGAGTATTTCAGCAACAATACACGTACTACACAAACCTGTGGCACTGCCATTACTGCATGCATCTACGCAACGTCATTGCTTATGGTATCGGCTCTCGGTTCGACTTTAAAAACCCACAGCTTTAAACCCTCATAAATTTGGATGTTTCGAGCTTTCGTGGGTGGCTCGAATGTGTTGGCGCACTATGTCGCAGTTTGCAGGTGCTTTGGTTTGTTGAACATGTTGCTGCGTGTTCAATTGTCTTTTTTTCGGTGGAAACAAGACGTCCGGCCTTGCCCGACCGTGAACCAGAGAAGAAGAACAGGAGGTTTCGGTTCATGTACAGCCGTGACAGCTCCTAGGTTTCGGCGCTCATCACCAGACTCTTAGAGCTGTGATCCTAACATGCGAATCTCTGGAGGAATCCTCACCGGGGTCAACATCACACTTTAGCTCCGACCTGGCATGGCTTTACGGCCCCTTTCGTTTGGCCGGCGACTCTCCGGAAGGGTTTTCCGTTGCGGAGCGTAGACTAGACCCAAAGCTGTCGGGCTTGACGGCTGCAGGCCATTGTAGGCACCCTAAACCCTAAACCCTGGACCGCAGGTGGCAGCTGGGCTTCTGCCAATACCCGAGACGGAGACGGAGAGTAAGCAAGGCAAGATTGCGCCACCCTTCTTAGGGTTTAGGGTCTAGGGTTTAAGCACCGCCATTTCCTTTGATCTGTGTTTGCACAGAAGCAGACTGCCTGCGCAGACCCTCTTCCATCATGCAGAACTCAGATCCTGAAGTCCAAAGCCCGAAGCCCGGCTAGAGCCCTGCTTCAAAGCTACGAAACTGTTACATGCCCTGACATCAAGATGGTTCGCATGTCGTACTAGCTATGCTCATCACTGGTGGCCACGGCCCCAGCCTGTTGCAAGCATCCGTCTAGATCGTAGACCTGCGCAGGTCCATGTCGACTTCTATAAACATATGAAACAGTGCAAGCAAAGGTTGGGGCAGGAGTAGGAGTAGGAGCATGCAGGAGTAGGCGTGGTGGTGGTGGTGGTGGTGG